GCAGCTGTGGCACAAACCATATCTTTCTCATCCATCTATAGTTAGCTGGTTTATAATTATTGATTAACAACATTATTGCCAGAGATCTTATAAGAGAGACTCGGGTGACAGAAACAATCCTGCACTCAAATCAACGGGAGTTTATTTGGTAGGAGGCAGAAGTTGACCATAAAGGTTTTTTTAAACCATATTTAGGGTTAAATTTAAACAACCTTTGGTGATTATAAACAATAACCACACAAACAAAGTCATAAGATATTTCAGAAATGGTGAGAGTTGCTTTCATGAGGACTCTGTCCTGGCCGCAGCCTTCGTTAGTGCACCGTCAGCATTTCTGGAGCTTAACGGGCTCGTTGGTGCTGCTGGATTTTGCTTGTTTAGCAAGTCAACGAGTTAATAATAGTGGTTTGGAAATAAAATAAATGAAAAACTATTTTTAATGCTTTGAACAGAAAGCAAATTATCCACAACAGGACACTGTTACCAAGCACCAGCCATATCTACTGCCTCGAGTGATACCTCATGTATGCGACTGAGATCTGAGTAAGTTTACACTGACATGATATCGGGACTGATGATGCTGAATGAACTTAAAGTCGGTTGGACGTTTACATCAGTTTATTGCCTCACCAGACTTTTTGATTGCGTGCAGCAGTTCAGTTTGGTCGTGCTGTTGCATACGCATGATGCCGTCTTTGTGCCCGTTTTATGTGCTTAATTGCATCATTCTCTGTGCAACATCCAGGATAACCTCCCAGATTTTGAAACCTAAACGGTGGCAGGTGTGACCACGTGCTAACAGGGTTTACTGCGGGGCTTTAGATGCCAAAGAAGCACCTAAGCTAAGTGTTAGCTTAATATTCGTTAGAGCATCTAAAACATTGACAGAAATCACACAGGAAGTTAAAGAACGTATTAAGCTAACATGGAAACACATCTAATCTAATACAGCTAACTAGATGGCTAACCGTGTAGTAACAGTGTAGCAGCTAATTACGCCAATATCATAGTGAAAACTGAAAGTGGACTGGGGCGTGTATATTGTGTTTTACTGCACGTCTAAAATATGAAAAAATAATTCTATGTTTGGTTTTGACGTCGTGTAAAATCGCTCCTCAGCGCTGGCCTAAATCACCGATCGGCCCTGCAGCACAAAAGCAGACATCTGCAGGGCATGAGCGTCTCTGCACACAGGAAGTGACACAAAAGGTCACGACTGGAACTTTTGCACGGCAGAGAGCGTGTCATGTCGGCCTCTCTCCTCCGTTCGTGCTCCAGCGTTCACGTCGCGCTGCATGATTTTGGGTCACTGACACATTCAGTGTTTCTTAGCGTGCCATCATGAAGAAACCTGCAGCTCAGAGGCCTGAACCCCCTGACTCTTTGTTTGGAGTAATACTGAAGAGCCGTCACGCTGCACATGCCTTTCGGGGAACTTTTGAGACTCTTCACGAACCAATTCGATTTCCAAGGCACACTGAAATTAACTGGCACTAATTGCTTCACAGAAGTGAGGAAATGGGCTAAAATCACATCCTTGGGCAAAGCTGAAGACGGCATACAGTATACAGCACTCTGAATAATCCAACTGCAGAGTAAAACAGGTCAACTACAGATGAAACTCCCAAAAATGCTTCCTTCTGACATTTCCATAACACACCTGAAGGACACAAAGATGTTGAAAATCAAGGTGCTGCCCCTCTAAAAGGTTTACGGATGCAAAAACAGAGCTGCTGATGAGCTGAGTTTATCATCGTCTGGCTGAATACCTCCTCTGCACCGAAGTTATATGCTCTTTGAAAACCTGCATTTAGATTACAGGATTATCTTTAGGACTCAGTTACACAAACATGAATTAATCAGGTTCTTTGTAGGTTGTAAAATTAGGTCAACACAACCTGTAATAAAATACAAAATCTAACATATGTATCATCACACTTTGTAACAAAACCAAAGCAAAATGTAGAAACAGTGTGGGCAAAACGAAGTGCACCCCATGCATCCGTAGAGACTTAGAGGTTAAGTATCAGCCAGATGCTGATAATCAAATGCAGTTAATTCATTTATCATCGGAAAGCATGACCACCTCTATTGACTCATTCAGGTGTGTGATAACACAATTCAATTATATTTTATTTTTATAGCACAAATCACAACAACTGTCACCTCAAGGTGCTTCGTATTTTGAGGTAAAGACCTTTCAATGATCCCCAACAATCAGACGACCCCTGTGAGCAACCGCTTGGTGACAGTGGCAAGGAAAAACTCCCTTTCAACAGGAAGAAACCTCCAGCAGAAGCATACTACGATCTTCTCAGGAGTGAACAGCAAAGACGTCCAAACGTCTGGGAAACTGCAGAAAAGCCTCAGACTCTACGGGCCTCAGCCAGCTTATTAAAGGTTAAAGTTCATGTCAGCACACTTAGACAAAGACTGCACAAGTACATCCTTTTTGGAAAGGTTTCCAGGAAAAAGGTCTCTCTAGAAACGACATGGCTGCACGGCTTAGGTTTGCAAATCTCAACAAACTACAAGACCTCTAGAACAATGTCTTTTGGACAGACAGCGTGGAAATGCACAGCGCCACCTCTGGAGAAAACCAAACACAGCAGATCAGCAAGAACACCTCATACCAACTTTCAGCATGTTGGTGGATGGATGATGATTTGGGCACCTGGCAGCCGTTGAGTCGACCATGAACTCGTCTGTGTACCAAGACTCAAACGTGAGGCCATCTGTCTGACAGCTAACGCTTGAACTAAACTGGGTCGTGCAACAGGGCAACGATCCGAAGCAGCAAACAGAACGACTGAAAAAGAAAGGATTCAGGGTCCTCGCCACGCCTGAAATGCTGCGGTTGGACATTCACAGAGTTGTGCATAAACAAGTGCCCACAAACCTCAATGAGCTGAAGCAACATTGTAAAGAAGAGTGAATGAAAAATCCCCCACAACCATATCAGAGATGAATAAAGTCACAGTTTAAATTACTCCTGCTAAACAGTCACTGTTTGTCACACAGTCTGGTTTAGTTTGAGTAAAGCCCCGCTGTGATATGTTGTTCACTGCATTATCAGTTTATTGACTGTATTTATCGCTCCACTAACACTATGTAACAAACAGAAGAGTCCAGCGATACTTACATTGAGAGGAAACAACTTTATGAAGTGACTGATGCGTTTCGGCTCGTGGCGTTCCTCGGGGTCATTCGGCCAAGCTGAAACACGTTGGTCACTTCCTGAAGTTGTTCCCTATTAATGTAAGTGTCGCTGGACTCTTCATTGGTGCACATGACATGAATGTTTTTCCAATTTTAAAAGCAGGGATCATTGTTGTTAGAGCGAATCACTTCACTCAGCTTTTACATCAATTTGTGTTATTTTAAATACACTACTGATCCAAAACACCTCATAAATTATTATTTAAAACTACAAGCAGATATTTAGAGGAAAAAATCCCAGTTTGAGTCAAAGAAAGTGAAAAGTTGTCCAACACATGCTGAAGAATAACACTGCCAGCCCTTGTTTCGATGAATGAGTGCCCTGTTTACTGAAACACGTCTTAGGTATGTAAATTAAATTAAACAAATTATTCATTCATCCCCAAACAAAAGGCCGGGGAATTATCCCGATATCAGATGACTCTCACATCCAAAACCAGGCAAACCCCAGTGAGGTCAGAAGAGTCACGGCTGCATGTGTGATGACTCAGTGGGGACAGTGCTATATGAGGAAAACTGAGAACGATCATTAAACAGCAATTATGTGTTACATATTAAGCAATGAGAAAAGGTGCAAACTGGTGCAGAAAATTCTGCAGATCGCAGGAAATTAAAAGCGCAAACTTTGTGTTGAACTTAAACTCAAGAGTTTAGATAAGTCTCAGTTCCAGAGAGGTCAGAGTCAAGGCCTGACGGGCCCAGAGATACGGTGCCTTTCTCAAGGGCGCTTCGGCTGGATGCCAGCACAGAGCCTCAGGTCCTGGTTATGTATGAGCACAGCTGATAAACTCATGAAACATCTTCTCAGGTGCCTGTGCACACGGCATTAGGATCATGTCGGCTGTGAGCCACTCAAACCTTTGTCTCCTGTTTACTGGAACAATAACAAAGGCCTTTGATCGCAGGAGGGCCGTTTATGTTGCATTAGGTATTCAAAAGTGTTAAGAGTTATTGGACAAACTGTGCCAGTAGAGTGTCCTACGAGCCAACCTTCTCACCTGGACCCTTACCCACAGATATCACAGCTTCCTGGTTGTAGCTGATTAATGAGGGCCGTTTTAATGATGATGATCTTTGGCAGGAACAGTAAAATCAATTGTGTGCACAAAGCCGTGCACAGCACAGCTGCTCTGCCACAACATCCTGTTTCGCAAACTACAGGACGATGCTGCAAGATCAGCAAGGGAAACCCGATGTGTCGCTGCAGCCACAGTTCACGGTTACAACCCTTTCCGGACAACCTTTTTAGGTACACTATCAAAGCCACGCCAAAAATAATTTTAAACATTTGCTACTTGTAACGTTTCCCAGGTTTTAGGTCATACTCTTTGATGCAGCGTATACTGGCATATAGTAAACATTCATACATGCCCTGTGTAGGTAGCATAACACAGTTATTGACTTCACAACGTAGTCGGCACAATGAACAAGGAAGACAGAGATTTCACGGTAATTAAGAGATTTGTTTAAACATATTCCACGCCGAAGTGGACACTGTTTGTTAAATTCTTGAATAAAGTCCTCATTAAGTTGACATTCAGCGTAGGACCACGGATATGAAACAAAGCTTTATACCGCTCGAATTATAAACGGAGTTCGGTTGGTCATTTCTATCTACTCGTACGAACTGTATTTACGGTAACACCCTGCGCGCATAATCAGAAGATTTGTCAGGAAGTGCAGGAACAGTTCGTGCCGCCTGAGTCCGGGGCATCCCTCCGGTGCTGTGACTGTAACACACCGGTGGAGCGGAGCTGTCACACCGCCTTCCCCATCCTTACCTTCCCGTGCTTTGAGCAGCACAGTGTTGGCCACGATGTTCTCGAGCTCCATGTTAATGCTGTGCGGGCTTACAGCAGCGGCAGCACACCGAGCTCCAGGTCCCCCCCGGCGGCTTCAATCACAGTTATCCTCTGCCAAGCACCGTCCACCGCCACCACCTCCTCCCACCGCCCAGCCAAGGAGGAAAAACTCCGTTCTGCTTTCGCGCAGACCCGTCCGGTGACAGTCCGCGCCCCTCCTCTCCTCTTTCTCCTCCTGTTACTCCTCCTCCTCGCTCCATCACTCCGCCCTGAAGCTGCTGTCAGAGAGGAGGAAATAAAGCAGACTTCTCACTCTGTTACAAAGGCGCGTTTAAGGAAATAAGCATCATAATATCAAAGGCAGATAGCTCACTCTGCTCATATCTAATGCTTCGGTTTTGAGCCCCGAAGTGTGTGTTAGTTAAAGAAGCAATTTAAAGGTATTAGAGCATGCTAGCAACCATACCATTAGAGTTTGAGTTATATTACAACAAACTTTACTTAAACATCAATTTAAAAAAGACCGAGTGGCATAATTTATAATGGACGCTTTACCAGAGACGGAACTGGTCTCTGATAGCGCTTTATGACTTTAAGCTAACCGTTTAACCATTTAATCATTTAGTACTGTTAGCTAAGCATTTAATTACCTTTGGTTCACCGTTCAGTACTTTTAGCCATTTATAACAGATTATTACTTTTAATTCATTTGGTTAACTGTCTTTTATTTTTAGTTAACAGTGTATTACCTTTAGCTGACCGTGTAATCTGTTATTTTTAGCTGTTTCGTTCCTTTCTTTACATTAGCATTTTATAAATTTTTTGCTACCTGTGTTATTTATTATTTTTAGTTAGCTGTTTATTACATTTAGCTAACTGTTTCATTTGTTACTTTACATTAATAGTTTATTACTTTACTACCTGTTGTATTTATTATATTTAGCTAAGTCTTTATTACATTTATCTAAATAATAACTGCAGCTCCATGAACACGCACAGCTGTGGTTCCAGCTGCCTCTGTAGTTCTGCAAACTTTGACCCCCACAGAGTTGAGCCTTTCAGTTCAATCAGCTTACCTAAATCAATTTAAGACTTAGGTAAGTTTAACACAATTTAACTGCAAACATTTGTGCAAATCCTCTTGAAAATAACTAAAATTACTTTTTTCTACTTTTACTTATTAAACCCATTCAGTTCAGTTTGGACTCGTTTCTTAGAATCAGAAGAGCCTCCAGGAGCTCCGGCTTACAATGTATGAATTGAAATTCCACTGCTGTGGGAAATTTAAACTTTCATAAGTCATCTGAACTTTTATTGTTTCCTGTAATATTGAAGACAGTGTGTGTTTGTGTGAACTGTACGGGAAATATGTGTCTACTACTGTAACTGCTAGTAGATCTACTGCTTGTGGTACTATTTGCATATATTTATTGATGTTTCTTTGTTATCATATGTCATTTAGCTATTTGTGAATTTAAGTGGTAATATTGTGCAGGTAAACTTGCTTTATTAATATGTAAAGTTTATTGATATAGTGCTTTTTAAGATGAGGACATGTCAAAAAGTGCTTTAGAAACGTATTAAAAAATGGTGAGATAATCACCTGAATCCAGTAGAACAATACAAAACACCCAAGCGACTGGTATTTAAAGAGACTGTAGGCTGCTCCTCAGGTTTGGCACTAAAGTCTGATATATATTAGATTTCAGGAGGATTGTGTCAGTATTTCTACTTTGGTGTTTCTCACCAAGAAAACTATGAGAAGAAACTCAGATCATCAGCAGGGTTTTAACCTTTAAGCAAACAGGCAGGAGGGTTTAAGTGCAGATTTTATTTATATCTGATCAATAATGAATAATGACGACTCTGAGGATGTCTGGATTTCAGCGCTGTGAGTCTCTGAGCAGGTGTGGAGTAGGTTAGATCACACTGACCTCTGGATGTTTCAGTCATCAGCTGCAGGTTCTCAGCTCTGACTCAGCAGCTCAGAAAAACATGATGTCAAGCATCTCATTTAAAAATAAAGATCCTCTCAAATCACCACAGAAAAATGACGTAGAAAACACCGGGCTTGTTTTTAGATGCTATTACAGGTTTGTTACATGGTGGTGTAATGAACGATACTGCTCGTGTTTAAGGATCCGTTTGTGTTGGATAATTGTTTTGTCAAGTGAAAAAACAGGATTTTGACTTTTAGCAGTGGATAAAAAAGCTGGAAGTTGTAATTCTGATTTATAATCAAAGTATTCATGAATGAATTATTCATGGCATGTTCACAGTCACATACATGACATGGATGAAAATTATAGATTGATCGACGTGTAAACCAATTTAATGCTGAAGCCTTTGATATATTAATGACCTATATTGTTGTTGGGTAGCTTGCTAATGCAATTTATCTGCAAGATAAGATACTAAAGGTTTAAAATAAATGATGCATTATTTGCATCCAACATACAGGAGAGTAGAAGAAAACAGCATAACATGGGAATATGTTACAATGTTACAGTGAGTGAATGGTTGTACCTTCTTTCTGCTCTCATCCACTGTAAGATTAACTCTGATCCAGCGGCTTGTTGGGATGGGAGACCCACACGCCCCCTTCTGGACTCACCTCTGTTAATATCTTAGCAATTTGGCATAACATACAGTAAACTTAAAACTTTCTATTTTTTTTAAGTTTTTCCGCAAAATTATTTGAATTATTTGATTTATAAAATAATTGCTTTAAGCAGAGAAAATAATTTCTTCGTTTATATTTTTATTTTTTATGTCACATTATTTTGTAAATATTAAAATGTGTTTATTTTCTCCTGTACTATATTCTTTTTTATTTTATTTTATTTTGTTTTTACAGGTGGACTCTGTACATTCTGAAAAAAATGAGAAAAGAAAAGCGGTTGGGTTGGAGGGGTGTGGCCTAGTCGTCACATGACCTGCACAAACCAAACACGTGCTTCCTGTTGCTGCCCGCACGTTGCCTGTTCCTTTCTGATTTTTTGAGCCACAGTAAGAAGAATACAAAGTTTGCGGCTCTGAAAACGGAGGAAAATCTCTAAAATGCCGCGAGCCAAGCAGTCAGCGCGGAGGAAGAAGTTTGACTACAACCGGAACCGGAAGAACGTGAAGACGAAGAACAAGAAGAAGTCGAACCCGAGGATCGAGCAGTGAGTGTTAGCATGTGTGCTAATATTAGTAGGAATGATGCAAAAACACGTTGTTAAAGCTGCAGCCAAAACATATCAGTGCCCCGAGAGTCGACTAATTGATTGATCGAGTACATTAATTCACCTGTGTTTAAAGTTGATTGGTCCTATTTGTTCAAGAAATGTTCCATTTAGATAAACTCTTCATAAAAGAGAGTATTTTATACTTTTAACACAAGTATCTGAGTGAACTGAATAGTTGTCATGAAATCAGCTGTTTGATGTTAGAGGATGAATGTACAGAGGCCCACTAAAACCTCACCTGCTGTTTTTAATGCAGTTGTTTGAGTGATACACAGACGGAGGATGGAAATGATCATTAGTGACGGTGGCAGGCACTAAAATGTCCTCTTTTATCTGAACCAACAACTGAAATGTTGCAACAGATGTGCAGGGTGTCTTTAAAAATGCTGAGAAAACTGGACAAGTCATGTCCTTAAGAAATGGAAGGAAAATAAATCCCGCAAAGACCTGACACAGGGCCTGAGAGATGGATCTGCGGTTTACTGGCTGTCAGGAAGTCATTGTTAACGGAGGGAAACAGGAAGATTGGGCTGAGGTTTGCCAGTTATCCAAACACTGGACTGAAAATCAGTGGCAGCAGATCTGATGGAGGGATTATTCCCCATCATCACTCCATCAGAGGAGCCTCTGTGATGGTTTGGAGCTGCATTTCAGCCAGTGGAGCTGGGTATCTTGGCAACACCGTTAAAAAGTACCATTAGATTTTGATCCACCACGCAGATCATCTGGAAAGCATCTGATTGGCAACGGTTGCATCTGTCAGCATGACAGTGATCTCAGTGTCAGTGCAGTAAAAGCATATCTGGATAGAACAGCATCAGTCATGGATCGGCCTCCTCGAGCCAAGACCTCGACATTATTGAAGCACTGTGGGGTCATGAAAGTGAAAGGAACAAAAGAAGAGCTTTGAATGTCCTCAGAAAGCTTGGCGAAGTATTCCTGAAGACCTCTTAAAGAAAATACAGGCTGTGTTGGACGACTAAGGGCTTCATGACAAATGTCGATTACATGCATCTTTGCACGTTTCAGTAAATCTTGAGGTGGCCCAAGAACTTTAACGTTTGATTAGTAATAAATCTGGTGAATAACTGTTCCTTTGCATTAAAGACTCGATTCTACAGACAAAGTTGTGCTCTTGGTCACGTGCTAGGCTGCAGTAGATGAGCTGTTCTCATGTCTAACGTGTTGTCGTTGTCAGATCTCAGATTCGAAATGCGTGGGACGACAACAAGTCCGTCGCCAGGAACCTGCAGGAGATGGGTCTGGCTTTTGATCCTAACCGCTCTCTGCCCATAAAACAGCAGAAGGTAAGAGACTGCGCACAGTTTAGGTCTCGGATCTCTTTAGCTGCGCTTAATTTGCTCTAAAAACATGTTTTAGATGCAGTAAGGGTCCAAAGTCAGTTTCGAAACATAAATGTGAATTTATTCATAAATTCTGGTTGTGAATGTTTATATTTTATTCAGGTCTTCTATCCAATCTTTCTAATCATCTGTCATTCAGTTTTGGTGAGCCTGTGTGAATTAGCCTCAGGTCTTAGCTGACAGGACTGGCACCGGCGTGGTCTTCTGCCGCTGTAGCACATCTGCTTCAAGCAGTATGCACCCAGAGATGGTCCTCCGCCTACCTTGGCTGTAATGATTGGTTTTTGGCTCATTAGATATTTGTGTTAACGAGCAGCTGAGGTGGTGTACCTAATGAAGTGGTGTGTGAGTGTAGAGCTAAAGATGAAAGTGATTAAATTAGTCATATTTATAGCAACTGCAAACACCTGAAATGAAGGAATGACCTCAGGTTTTTGCTATAAATTCTGTTAGTGTTAAAAACAACCAGCACATTAAACTTGCAGCATGTTTGTGTTGACGTCCTGCAAATGTTAGTTTGAGCCTGAAGGGGGCGACAGAGTGTTAATTATGAAGTCTGCACTCAGCCTGAGATGTTTGATTGCTCCAGGTTTCAGACAGAAACAGAGATGCTACCTCCTGAATTTATCCCGGCTGATGTTTTACAGCTGCTCGTGTTTTTAATTAATCACCGCTGCCGTTTCAACCCGGGGCTAAACCGAGTGAATGCCGGCCTGCGGGCTGCGCTTTGTTTTCCAGCAGCCTTCAGACATTCAGACGTTTTCATTTTGTTCTCCTGTGACGGCGACTAAATGATGAATTCGTGTCTTCCCCCCGGGCTCGGCGGCGAGGACACTTAAACGGTTTTGTCTCCCGAAACGTCGTCGCAGATGAGATAAAGCACATTTCACAGCTGTCATCGCGTCGCATTACGGTGGAAGACGGATGATTATGTTTATTAACCCAGAGTCCAAACAGGCTGCCTGATGACCTTCATTGTGTTTTTCTTCCACGCGTGCAGCTCCCCCGGGAAGACAAGAAGCCTGCCGTCGTCACCAAACCCTTCATCGTACAGCGTGAGTGTCTCCTCCTCATGTACATGAATGTCTGCTTCACTTCATCCTGCAGGTGACAGGAAACGCTAAACCAAACCCCACCTGCTCATTTATTCATTTATTCTTCTTTTATCTGGAGCCAGGAGCTGTGTGTCCATGATGTCAGCATGTTTTTCTGTCACACTTTCTATGATTTAGGGATGATTTCTAGTTCATTGGCTCCGATCAACGTGAGAATAAGATGTGATCTTATAAAGACAATAAGTCGATGGAGAAGCAGTAAGTTTACAGGGCGATGCCAAGATTGATAAATGACAATAAGAGAACAACAGAAAGGTCGGTGACCTCAGCAGAGGCATCCCGGCCTGCTCATTCAGATGTGGAGGGTTGTCGTCCCGACTCTGGACTCCGTCTGAGGGTCTGATGTCTTCACCCTGAGTCTGAGTCTATTCACCTTTCTGAGGTGCAGGTGAGGGCAGGAACGTAGATCGGCGCTCGTCTCCGTCACTAACGTAGCCCAACAGAGGCCACTGAGCCGGCCGCTGCACAGAGCCCGAGGAGGGTTTGTTGTGTTCAGAGTTGGCTGGATGCTGCTCACCACGGCTCGTTTAAAGCCTGCTCGTGGATGCCAACCAGGCTGTGCTTCTAGGATTTAGCAAATATTCCCAAACACTTCATCCGTACACCGGTCTGTCCGGTTCAGCTCGTGAGCTCGACCACGAGGCAGCCAGAGTGGGTAGCAAATCTGTAAAATTACAGAATAAGTTCTGTTAGCTCGTCGTCCAGATTGGGGGATTTTTCCATAATAGTGAAAAAAAAAACTTTACTGCCATTTAATCGTTTATCTATTTTTTTATTCCTTCAGTATGAGCGGCTGTGGAGAGGTCTTTATCAACGGGACAACTGTACAGTTCATGAAAAACAGTTAAACGTCGAGAGTTTGTCCAGTGGGCCGGATCCTGGCCCACGGGCCTTATGTTGGACCCCTCTGATGTAGGGGGTCTTCTGATTGTTGGCATTTCTCAGTATCGTTGTGGTCGTCACCTTACAATATAAAGCACATGGTTAACAATGTGACTTGTAGTGTGAAGCACTTTGAGCGGACAGACACTTTGGAAATACACGAGCATGGTGAGTTGACCGTTACCGTGGCGCTGGGGCGGGGTCAGGATAAATCGTCCTCGGCTGCTGCTGCTTAATGACATGTCAGTGTTTTTAATGACGGCTTCTTCACTTCACTTCCAAAAGTCTTTTCATGTTGCGCGCTCTGTGAACGCAGCCTAATTAAACTGAAGCCGTGTTTCACTTCTGTGTGTTTGTTGTGATGTTATAGAAGCAGCAGCTGCAGATTCACCGTTTTTATTTCCAACCTGTGGCAAGGTCGCAGCTCGGAAACGCTCGTCTGCGTCGGCAACCTTATTTCAGTTTGCATATTTACCTTCTTCCTGTTAAACCTGAGAAGAGTGTTTTTGTTCTTCTTCTTTGGTTTGTGTGAGCAGAGCTGGAGGCAGAGGCCAGCCTCCCCGGCAAAGACACCAAGACGTTATCGACCGACCTGATCGAATACGTTCAGCACATGATCCGAGAGCACAGCCAGGACTACAAGGTAAGAACGACCAAGCTTGGACCACAGTGACTTTCATCTGGATTTAACAGTAAATTACAGCTCCTTCATTTTACGGCCAATTTCCTGAGTTATTCATGAAAGTTTCACAAAAATGGGCAGGTACTGACAGTAAAAGGTCAGAAACCCCCAAGTGACCGTTACTCATGTGCGTCACCCATGGTCTCTGCAAGAGGCATCCCATATCTGCACCTGTAACAGCCTCGAAGCACGTCAGGGCCTGCTTTATCTTATTTAAAGGGGAGATAGGCCGGAGCATGTGTCATCTTTGTGTTTCATGAGCCTGTAACTCAGAAAATAATCACGTTATGAGGATAAATATTAAATATACTGCAGTTATTGCACAGAAAAATCACCTGATTCTGAGGGGGTCGGATCAGAGGCATTGATTGTTGTAGTTTTTTATACTTGGAATAACCCTGAAGTGACTTGGATAAACAGAGCAGTGTGTGGCAGAGGTTTAAACCGAGCTTTTATTAGAAAAATGACTCATTAAAATGAATTTTCAACAGTTGCTTTAGATGAGACTGAGTCACCGCCGGGAGCGCTGCCAAGCCAGAGTCAGTCAATAAGAGGGGATATTGTGAGTGTGGATTTTTCTCTGTACAATGAAACGTCCTTCACGGAGAAATTTTCCACCCTCGACTTTTTGAGCCGAATGTGTCAGCTGGAGCTTCGCACTGAGAGAACGTGTCGGCAGATTCAAGGGTTTTATTGCAGTTCAGACCCGAGTTTATACTTCTGCTCCCATCAAAGTGATGCTTTTTTTATTTCGCACAGCAACCGTGTGTGAAAAGTAGTCAATAAAGAGAAGCTGAAAAGTGTGTTCATGCAAATATCGTCGGGTCTGCCGTGACATGTTTATAATGGGACTTCTGCTCCTGAACCTCTGCGCACAGCGTCTGCAGGTCGGGGCTGTACGAAGTCTGTTTCATCTTTACGCAGGACTGTAAGCTGTCGTCTGTGAGGCGTGAGCGGTGTTTGTTTTTAACATAGTTCACGGTGGAGAACAGCTGCTGACATAATGTGGATCCGAAGATCCATAATTGGCCTACCTGGGGTTGAAAGTCTCGATAAATGCACGGCGTTTCGTACACCGGCTTCTGCGAGTGTGACGCTTATTTTGAGTGATGAAAAAATAATAGAATATAATTTTATTTTTATATTTCAATATCACAATAATCTTCCAATTTAGAACTACAAGTTAAAAAAGAACTGACATAAATAACATGCACTTCAGTTAAATGCTTCTAACTTATTTTCCCAAACCACGCGGAGCCGCACTATACGGACTGAGGAGCCGCAGGTTGCCGACCCTGCTGTAGGGTCTTTGGCTTACAGTATCAACCACGTCGAGAGGAATTTTGTTGGGATTATGTGTAAACAAAATTGAAAAAGAAAAGTCCTGGTGCAGAACAGCCGTCATCTCCCGGCTCTTTGTATAATAATATTTCATACAAGGTGTTCATCACAGATTCTCATTAGGAGGGACTTTTGGCTGCCTCTCCAGTGAGTCATTCATCCAAAGACTGACTCCAGCTCCACCTTCCTGGGCGCAGTCGGGCTGCACATGAACCAGTCCTCCACTGGTTGCAGGGTCTTTTTAGGGAGATCCTTTAATTTTCCGCAGAAGAAAGACTTCAGTTGACAGTTGTAGTCGAGTGGATGGGGGAGCTGGAGTCGGTCCAAAGGATGAGAGACTCACTGGAAAGGAAGCTGAAAAATGTTGAAAACGACTTGGACAGCAAGTTAGCTGGTGTCTGAAAGCACAAGCTGGTTAGCTGAACAAGAAGGTTATCTTACAGGCGATCATGCAGGAATAAAAATTAAAGATCAGCACGTTGCTGAGAGTTAAACTGACCACTTGTTTTCTAATACAGCATGGATCCATTATTTAAACGAAGACCCATCAGTCAGTGGAAAACGAGCAAGATGCTGACAGTAAAAATGTTAATGTTCACAGAGGAAGGCTCTCTCACGCTGCTGTCCCTTCCTTCCCCGCTCTGCAGGCGATGGCCAGAGACGAGAAGAACTACTACCAGGACACGCCCAAACAGATCAAGAGGAAAATCAGCGAGTATAAACGCTGCCACCCGCAGCACTACGAGGCCTTCGTCAGCTCGCTCGCAGCTCCAGAGCCGATGGTCCAGTAGAAGATCTGCTGTGGGTCTGAGGAAGTGGACTGTGGACATTCAGACTGAGGTCGAGTGTTTGGACGGAGAGTAAAATACCGGAGCTGTCGGCGAGTGCCGAGGAAACACGTCCATGTTCTGGTTTCTCTCTCCTGTTGTATTTTTAATTGAGTCATTTTGTTTCAGGATTTATTCGTTCCTTCTTGTGAAAGTCAAACATGACTGAAATGAGATTTTTAATCATTTAAACCCCTTGAAACTCGTCCAGCAGGTGTGGGTTTTTTCCCTCTCTGGGATAAAAGTATTTCAGTTTCCTCCATAATCCTCATAAACCACAGGAGGACCCGAACATCCAAGTAAAATCATGAAAAATGGATCTATTTTTATTGGTGTGTTAATTGATTTCTGTTTTTATTCCCAAGCAAACCAAAGTCCGAAACCACGAGACAAGAATGATCTGTGCAGAGATCGAATATCAAGTGAGATGCTAAAATAAAGAAGTTGGTGAATGTTTTTACTGATAAATAGCAAATATGTGAGCGTTTTTTGAGCCAGAAATAAAAGTCGGGATGATTGTTCAAAGAGTTTCTGGATGTGACCAGAAACAACAGATCAAAATATTTTTGCTGATTTGGAGGAGAGCTCTACAAAAATGTTAACGCCGTGTGAAAGCGTGACCCAGATCTTGCTTTTGGCGTGGCTCTAAAGACCTAAAATTACATTGCACAGCTCTGTTTTAAGCAATTCTTCTTTAAGTGATGGGAACTACGTAAGGATTATTTCAAACTGTCAATCATGCAAAGCTCCTTAAGCAGAGTCCAATAGTAGAAACATGGAGATTTGAAACAAGTCTTTAATCAGCTCTCGAGCTGATTCAAACAACTTGTTGAAAGGCTTTAAAAATTCCACCAATAAGGGAGCGCACGGGAAAAATATTTTGTGATTTATTTCTTTTTTGTGCACAGTGTGTTGTAAACTAAATTCTCGTTGCAGTGGAGTTCAGCTTCAGTCTTTGTTTTAATTGTGTTCAAATGCAGAGGAAGTTTGTTCACTGTGTTTAGGTAGAAACCTCATTAGAGTCTGGTTTTACTCTTTTACTGAACACGCAAGTGTTTAATATAAACGTACACGTTAATTTGAGTGTTTGATACGAGATTAATTCTGCAGTAGAAGCCGAATCAGGATGTCTTAAATTTAAAAACATGTTTTAATCGGACGCTCGAAGTGCTTCACCGTCTTTGAAAAACCTGCAGGAGACGACAGTTTAATCAGTGGAGATGGAAGTGAGGACAGACACGATGACCCTGAGGCGAACGGGAGATGTGTGATAACAGACAGGTCGTGATGTCCTTTTGAAGAAAGGGAAACACGCGTCCGTGAGCTCCTCTGAAGACAGGCTAGGTCTAATGAATCAGCCTGTATTCAGTGAATCCCATTAACAGACCTCCACGTCGTCCTAATGATTTATTTTTTAAAGGTGCTCTCATGAAGTGTTTTATTTTACAGGGCTGGGGGGTTTGAACAAAGGAGACAAAACGCAGTTATTTTAATGACCAAAAGGGGGCGGCGACTGTGAGACGATGGCCCCGCTGAGCCATGATGAGTTCAAGGGCTCAGCTTCTAGTTTGTTGTCTTCATGACTACGTTGTGATACTGATGATGTAGATTATGGTCTCCATTAGTCAGAAAGGCAGATAAACCAAGTAATTTACTCACTGGGTAACCAATGAACGTTCAGCGTCCCTCAGTTTCACAGCCCGCCTCTCGCTCTTCACGACAATCAACCCAAGAGTTGCAAAAATGGTGGTTAAGGGTGGCTGGGTGGTCTTTATCAATAAGAAAAGCTGTAAAAGTCATGAAAATACAGTTAAAATTAAGGATCTATGCACTCCTTCTTATTCTAAAGCTGTGAGTCTTTGCCGGGTCGAGTTCTGCTCCTGGGGCTTATGTTTGACACCCCTCGCTTAAAATCTTAAATTCATGCTGTGGGAACACTGAACATCTGTCCCAGAGTTCATGGTAAAATGTCAAATTATCATGATAAGAAACAAAACCAAATAAATCCAAGATTAAATAAAATGATTGGGACACATCCTGGTTGGACCATGAAGGTGATGTTAACCAATCAGTCCTGTTCAATCCACACGTGCCTATGAATCCAAGTCATTTCCCTCCCTGTGTGAAACACTGATGGCAGATCTGCTGTAACATCTAATAATTCAGATATAACAAGGAAAAGTGTTTCTATTGTGATCATTTCTGAACTAATCGATCAAACGCTTACGTTTTGTGTTCATATATATATATCACGCCAGTTTTATGCACATGTGTATATATATATATATATATATGTGCATAAACCTGGCGTGATTCCTTTGATTCAGCAAAAAATAACTGATTATGAAATCATGACGAGTTTTTATGACCCCGTCTGTTAAACTGATAGACTAGGTAACATCTGGTTTGTACCTTTATCGTCTTTGGTTGTTGTTAGATTATCTCCTGCACGACAGCTAAACAACATCTTGACAAACTCTTCATCAGCTGTTTCACCTTCTGAGCTCTCATCAATCATTTACAGCCAAGAAAAAGATCTTTGGCGTGAGAGCAGGAACTTCTTATCTGAGGTCGTACTGAAGGAATGTCGGGCGTGATTGCTCAGTTTATAAATAAACACCGCTGCTTGTGAATTATTAACAGAGTCGTTCAGCGTGAAAATTCAGGACCTTTGTGGGTTTTTTTTACCAAGTTTGGTTTAAGACATTACTTCATATTTGTGTACAGTGTGTGCTGAGGAAATATTTGTATTTCCCCGGTTTGCAACCACCAGCATCCGCTGGTTGGCGAGTGGTTGCTGGAAATCACCAGGTGAGAAAGACCCCAAAGCTCGCAGATTACCTGTAAACACTCTGCAACTAAACTGAGGTCGTTTGGCTTCTAAGTAAAAACTGTCTTTTGAAATTCACAGTTTCAGCACAGCTCAGAGTAAATGGCGAATGTTGGGCTACCACAGCAATCTGTGGGCGACTAACATCATTTCAAGGAAGTTTTTGACTGGAGCACACTCTTTGCAACCAGCCCACCACCAGTGACAGCAACTTCCAGCAACCACTTGCTAACTGGTTAGGGAATGGTGGCTGCTGGGCCTGTGCAATCAATCAATGCAATCAATAAGAGCAACTCTGTGATTTGGATTTGATAAGGCTACCTTGATAAGGTTTGGGGGGTTTCTTTTGGCGTTATACTCATTCTTGTGCATTCTGTATATTCACTAGCATGCAAGGACATTCTTGTATCTGTTATATAACTGTTTTGGCAGATGCAGTTTCCTGGAAGTTACGTCATGTAACTTTCATGGAAGTCAGGTTTCACCCATGGTGCATCTCTTTCTAGGGCTGTTCGATATAACGATATATATCAGATGACAATATAAAAACGTCTATCGTTTGTTTCGTGGTGTCGCAAAATAAACTCTTTACGGCAACATTTTCTCATGGTTTTGATGTCACTGTAGTTATTATTAATGTCTTAAAGTTCTCTCTTTCTCTTATATTTAATAGAACCACACTACGGATGGACAAGCGCCTGTTTTTATGCTTTGTCGTTAGCAACAACGACGGTAAAACCATCGCGTGTCCGCTTGTTTATGTTCCACATAAACCTTTCACAATAAAGCTCAAGATCCTGTTGAGACTTTTCAAAATAAACTGAAACACGTGAAAGATGCAGAGTATTTACGGACGAGAAGTAAAAAAGAGCCGCCAGGTGCTAACAAATGAACCTTAGACTCAAACGTTAGAACAGCTTTTCCCCGCAGCACGCCGTGTAATAAATACTCACAAAGAAACGGCGCCGTTACAACTTCTGTCTAAAATGTATCGTTTCATGCATCAGTTAAAACACTCGACTCCAGCTACATGACAGCTGGAAACACTTCACGCAAGTCGAGCTGCCCGAGATTCACAGACTTTACAGAAAATGTTACATTTTTGTGATTTATATCGTTATTGGACGATAGATGTTTTATATCGGGATATGAGATTTTGGTCATGTCGCACAGCCTTCTCTCTTTCCCTCATGAATCACTTCATTTTTTAGATGTTATGTATCGTTACAAGCCAGTGATCCGTCATTTGGGGTGTTTTATGCCTGAGTCGTACCTGCTGTGAGGCTTATGCTGACTGAGTCACACTCGTAGCAGTCTGCCGTGAAAGACGGAGTGAAACTGAGCCAGAGTGACGTCTCAGCAAATTCATAAAAGTCCTGCTGTGCCGGCTGGGGAACTTCACCCAAGAAACAAGTCCGGACACTTATAGATTTGGTTCGTATTGTCAGTGTTTGCAGTGAATTGCTCAGACAGCAGATGCAAGCGTGATAAGGCAAGCAAGCAAATAGGATATTTGTTAGGGGATATCTCCGAGCTCCACTCAACGGGTGATATAACAGGATGCTTACAAGCTGAGTGCAAGCCTGTGTTTATGGCATGTCTACTCTGTGCATGTTTCCCCACTTGTACTTAAGCACCTCATTTACATGGGATTCATCTCTGTTTAAGCCGAGTGACAAGGTTTGATGGCTTTGAATGACATGAAATCCTCTCTTGGTAATTCTTTAACCATCGGTTGTTTCTGGGAAATCAAAACAAATGAACTACAGATAAAAAGAATTAACCCTGTGCCCACACACTTAGGTGTCCACACTGCCAGCCTTTCCACACGGCAGGGCCACGACAAAACCCCATCAGCTTTTTTTACAACTGAGGGTACAAATTAAAAAAGATGTTTGCTCCTCAATAACTGCATTTTTGTCAGCGACCTTGGTTTTCTTTCTTTAAAAGTAAGATTACTTAATAAGAAGTAATGTAGGACAAAACTGTCATAAAATGTATTTACAACTTCATAAACAAATAAAAACAAAACAAATATTGAGAGATGAGAACCAATCAGAACTACCCATATGGAAAAGAAATAGAAAAAAAAGACTTGCATCAGATGTGGCCTTCTTCATATAGTGACTCATAGAAGGCTGATATGATTTACTCATGAAAGTGGCCACTTTCATATATTGTTTTAGTAAATATCCAAAACATACAAGTTTCATTTATATAATTTTTTGAGGGATCTTATATCTGTTTTCACTCTTGTATGCTTTTCATGCAAGTTTCACACAAAACAGATAAAAACTTTATAAGATTTATATAAGTCTTTTCCATGTGGGTAAGTAAGCTGTGTAGTGAGGCGGGATGAGTTTGTAAATCATCCAATTAGAAGTAACGTCCTTGTACATTGAGGTTAGACTTGCTAATCTGATCTGTATCATGTATCATGATACTCAAAGGAGAGGAAAACTCCACCATCGATGACACTTTCCAACTCTTGGCTTTAAAACTCTGTTTGAACAAGGTGAGGCCTGCAACGCTAAAACCAAGACGGACAGCAAGGTAGCAACTGTTTGCTCTTCCTGTCATTGGCGAGAGGCGGTGCCTCATGCACGACCTGTGCAAAGCACGAGGCAAACTGTGGTCTATAACTGTGTTGAGCTATAGCTGTTTTGGGTTCCTGTACAAACTGAGAGCTTGGCTCGCTCTCAGTGAGCGCTGGTCTGCCATCCGTCACTGATTCTGTTCATAATATTTATGGACAGAATTTCCAAGCACAGCCATAGTTTGAAAGGTTTGATCGTCTCAGGATCTTGTTCCTGCTTTATGCAGACGATGTGATTCTGTTGACTTCAGCTTGCACCGGGGCTGTTTGCAAGTGTGAAGCACTTGAGATGAGAGTTAGCACCTTGTAGTCTGAAGCCATGGTTCTCAACCAGGAACAGCTGGACTGGGAATGAGGTCCTCTCCCAGGTGGAAGAGTTTTAGTATTTTGGGAAGAGTGGAGCGTGAGATGGACTGATAGATTAGTGTGGTGCTGGCAGTGATGCAGATGCTGTCTGTTGTGGTGATGACAGAACTGAGTGTAAAAGGACACGTGTTGATTAACTGGCTGATCTATGTTCCTACCCTCTCCTATGATCGCGACCTATAGATAGAAAGAATAAGACCAGCAGCAGAAATGAAGCATCTGAAGGTTGTCTGTGCTCAGCCGTAGAAATAGGCTCAATTGAGAGGGGCTCAAAGTAGAGCCATTATTCTTCCACATCAAAAGGAGGCAGTTGAAGTGGTTCAGCATCTGACCCCGGTGCCTCATGGGCACCTCCTCCTAAGTGAGGTGTCTCGTACATGGAGGCCTGGAGCAGATCCAGGACATGCTGAAGAGATTATGTCTCTGGGCTGGTTGTGCAGTAATTTCAGGGAGGATCATTTTGACCCCTGAAATACTATCACAGGATGGCAAATAGGTTTTTTAATAACATCGTGGATTGTACTTTGGATAAAAGCTGCAAGTTGTATTACTGAAAAGTTTAGTTTAGTACAAGTTATACCTTTGTAATAGTAAAATAAGCATTTTTTTCTTTAGATGGCATTAATGACAAAACTAATAATGCTTTAAGGAAGAAAAACAGTGTTGTCATTTCTTTTCTTTTACAAATCTGCATGTCTTTGTTACAGCAGAGCAGTCAGTAAAGTAAATACTTGACAAACATGAGACTTTGTGTCACTCTTATCACACGGAAAAAAAACCAAGCAAAACAAACTTAAACCAATTTTCCATTTAAGAATGATGTTTGAGATGACTCGATTATGTCTTCTTTATCTTTCTCCACATTTTGTCACAGCATTTACAAAGGTGGATCTGCATATTAAACACGTGAGTCACAAGTTCAGGCTTCAGACTGAGTCAGCATGCTTCAAGCAGCTTTTTGCTACGCACAGAAGCTCCGCCCACCTGGCTCTCCAGGGAACCACATTTTCAGAATAAAGTTGGATTGAAAAGTGATAGGAAAGGAACTAAAACATCTCTCAAGTTGCACTAACAGCCAGTAATTAGATTAATAAGCATTATTTTAAACCGTAAATCATGCAAAGCAACTCTAGTAGAATTCAAGAATAAACCCACTGAGCTGGAAATGAACTGAAAAGGTCCCCTTCAGGTTTGGTGATAAAAATCCATGTAGACATGCATGAATGTATATCTAACAGAAGACATAAAACAGGAAATGCAGTGACTGGTTATAAAACAGTGTTCAAACAGCAAATCCACTCAACTTTAAAGTGAAAACATTTCTGAAGTACATCACAAGGAATAAAACTTCACATTCATTAAAAAGTAAAACTGTGCGTCGGAAGCGAACATTGCTGCACACACACAGCATTTAAAGATCTAGCTAATTCCATTTTATCTTACACAGAGCTTAAAAGTCAAATACTGCATTTACACATTCGGAGACGTGTATTTACGGGATAACCGATTCCTACGCAGCTACTGAAATGGGACTGGAAGTATGAGCTTATAAATGGGATGACGTCCAGACTGCACGGGCAAAATAAAGACGAAGAATTGATTTTAGAGCCACTGCTGACTATTACTGCCCATAACTAGAGAATCTGAGGGTAGACAACTGGGAAATTGTTTGAGGGTTTACAGAAGCACGATGGGTTCAGTTCACAAAATCAATTGCCCTGTTTTCTGAATTAACGGGACATCTTAAATCACAAAGAGCCTCTATTGAGCTAAAAGCCCAATTTCTCAGAAGCAGTGATGTCCCATCTGAGACACAAGTTTGTCAGACATAAACAGTATTTCACGACCATGTTGCAGCAGCCCCTTGTGTTGTTTCTTCAGTAAGACTTTTATGACCATAAACACATTTATTTTTTTTTTAAAAAATGCAGTTTCACAGGAGTTTTTAAAATACTCACAGCCATTATATTAAACTGTATTGGGAACACAAATAAGTTGATTTGTTTTTCTTCACCTTCCTGAACACAAAGTTCCAACTGTGTCTTTTTTGTTTTACCCATCCAGTCTCATATCTGTGTACATATAGTTCATATTTTCCACTTTTGCAGAGCAACAAAGTCCGCCATCACTTTGTTCTGAATGTAGAGTTAATTATTTCAGAGGTCACATTTCAAATATGTAAAATTGGTTGAATTTAAAACACTGGGTTAGGTTTAAAACATCACGGTGCCACGTCTTATAAAGCTGATTCATGCTCCAGACACTAAATATACTTACAAAGTCGTGCTGTTTCAAAAACAATTGACAATTCGATCCTATTAACATGAACTCTTTTTTTTTTTGGCGACTTTTTCCACTTTCTTGGACGACCGAGCTGGAAGAACTGCGAGAAACGGATTCGAGACTTTTGAATGTTTCTTCTTCTCCCAAGTTGACAGACATTGAGTTTGTACCGAAAACGTAAACATCTGTAATTCATTATGGTGTTAGCGTGACATTATTTTGGTAGTGCATGGATTTATCATTGAATAATATGCACACAGGTTTTTTATATTGCAGCTGCCAGTAGTAGAACTAGACTAGCTAACGTTGTGCCGACTAATAAATGTACGACTCCTGCTTGTTTTCACTTATTTTAAAGTACAGCAGCCACATTAAGTATTTGTATTAAAGTAATTACAGCACACCTCAAACATGAAGCATTTGAATGCGAGGCTTTCGGCCACAGTTTAGAGAAAGAGAAAAAAAAAGATTAGCTGTTCATGTTTGTTAGCCTGTTAAGCTAACAATGAAAAGCAGCTAACGCCCAGTGTACATCGTTTTGTTAAAAGTGTTTCCTAGGAAACGACAAACTGTTTAATAAGCAAGGAGTTATTCTCACCTTACAACCTTTGGAGTCTCTAATCTTTGTTCCCCTGATAATGACAAAACCTGCAAGAAGTAAGAATGCTGCATTTTTTACTCTTTTTTAAAGTCTCGGACTTCCCTTTGAATTTCCACACGACGTCCCACCAGATCTCAGAGAAGCTGCAGTGCAGAAGTCATCCTCTGAAGCAAACTCAACCAATCCCCAAACACCAACCGTTCTGCTCGGCCAACGCCCTGATCTGACTTTACACAAAAACATTTCATAAAACATGAAAACCTGACAAAAATCTGTTTCTACAAACCTGACACCCAACAGCACACATTTTATGTACACGCAAACTACATGCTTAAATAAACCTGTAACAGGCCGACATTAAATAAGAGTCTGAGTCAGCAGCAGAAGGTGATCTCTGTAAGATCTGAGTCACTTCAGGGCCACCTTCTGTCTTCATCCTCCTCAGTCTGCACTTCCTCTTCTCCACTGAGCAAGAACAGATGAGTTAGAGGGAAAGTGTAAGATGCTTGAGAAGTTACTGTTTCTAAAGCCAACTAATAAAAAAAGGACCAGAAGAAAAGAAGAAGAGGTGCTGAAAGAAACAGCACTCTGTTTTGGCATCTTTTCACTCTCCCGCCGTCCTCCTCCTCTGCCTCTGAGCTTAAACAAGAAAACCTGAGAGGAGGAGGAGGAGGGTGTCCTCAAGCCACCCCTTTGCTTCCATGCCTACTCTTCTGCTCTGTGGGAAGGATCCTTGATCAGACTAGCTGGAGCAGCAGGTCCTGGACTGCATCCAGGCACTTGCAGGACTTCCTCAGGGCTCCATCAGAGTCCAGCTGGGCGGCCAAGAGAAACAGCTTTCTGTCTTCGGTCACGGAGCCCAGAGACAAGGCTTCGTGGAGCTCCGACACACTCACAGCGTTCGGCTTATCCTGTGCAGAGGAGGGAAAAAAGGTTGAGTTTTTATTACAATCTCACTATTGCTTTGTACCTTCTAATTGTGGCAAATGAACCCAGTTTCTCACCTTTAATTAAGAACTGTGTAACATCTAACTGTGTAAGCATCATCTCTGGTATGAAGGACACGTTTGTTAATGGAGCACTCCAGTAAAAAATGGTTAAACTTAAATTATATCTAATTTACCCAAAAGTCTGAGCAGTTACATTAGAAATCCACCCAGGTTTCAATCAAAGTATCTATCAACAAATATACCGTCGAGTTCGACTCCACAAAAAAAATTGCTGATTTGAATAAAACACCTTCCCATTAACTTCCAGAAATCTTCACAGGGTGTCATTACAAATTACTACATGTCACACTGTTTAAATGCTGGTTGTCTCTGTTGTGATCACAACTCACGTGTGCAGCGAGTGAATTTAAAACCACCTTCCTACACAAACCATTCAACCCCGGCGCGACTCTATAGATGTCCGCCTCGTTTCTTGGCACCACGTCTTTCCCAGCACACGAGTTCTGTGGGAAACGATCTCTGTGCTGTTCAAACTAAGCGAGAGCCGAGGCAGAGAACAGAGGCTTGGTGGGCGAACGCCAGTATCACTGTCAGAAAGAGCTCCTTCTTTATGTAGCCCATGTCACGGTACAGCCAAAGGTTTAGTTAGCAAACACCTCAACAGAAGCATTAAACCACCACAGTTGCCCTAAAATTAACGATATTGGTAATTACCAAAATAACTTCTAATGTTTCTGTATGCACAAGCTCTTCAATAAAAATACCTTTAATGCAAAAAATATGCATTTACCAAAAACCTGAAAAAAACTGTCATTTTGTGATTAAGACCATAAATTTCATTTATTAATTTATATTCCTGAACACAAAAAGTTCTGATTGAATAATTTTTGACTTCTGAGAAAAGTCTGCATGATAAATAACAATGTCATTTTTAGCTTAAGCAACTTTGTGACAGATTTGGTTATTATTTTTAGGACATAAATCAATATGGACACTCCAAGTGTCTGATAAGTAACATAAGATATTACCTTATTTGTGAATATGAAAACTAATGAAGCCATAACATCGAACACGGGTAATCATCCGTGCATAAGTGGTTTAACTCTAAAAACAGGGAATGATTTGAACAGTACAGACTTTGAAATATACTTTGCTATATTCTCACGTGAAACACGCTCCTCCCGAAAATGACACGGTTATATGTCATCCAAACATCTAACGGCCTTTTATCATTCAACTAAACTTTTTAACTGGAGCTTACACAACGTTTGATCTGCAAATCACCCAAACTGCTGGGAATGGTTGAATTTGTTGTACTTGCTGATGTAAAACTTCAAAGCTTTGCAGTTCAACCTGATGAAAAATCTGAATTCCTGTACACGTTCGTATCAGCAGGTTAATTAATAGGTCTATTCTCCATTCTGTTTGATGATCCAAATTTCCTTATTAATTTCACAGATGAAAGCAGTAAAAGTCTGCTCATTTTACACCTGTAGAGCCTCTTGATCTTTTAAACATGACGTGACCTGATGTAACTGGACTGCGGCTGCTCTGCGAGGTTTCAGGTAAGTTTTTCTTCTTAGTACTCAAAAAAACCTGACAGCACTGTGAGGATCGAGCCGCAGTGATCCAACATTAAATGTGACTAATATTCCTTTTTCCCTGCGGTGTCATGCATAATTCCACACACTGTGAAAGGAAATATGAACTGAGGAGGAAATGTATTTCAGGACTCTGATGGATCTTCTTCTTCTGGTTATGAACTTAACTGCATGCAAATTTCAACCTCTGCATGGCTGCGTTCAGCTAACTGTTATTTTTGAAGGAAAAAAATAATTCACGTTTCATTACGTACACGGGGATTTTTGAGAACTGAGATTTTCCGTTTTTGTTTTAAAAAAAAAGAAAGAAATCCCATCCACGCGTGCAGTGAAAAATATCTCCGTCCACATGTAAATGCAAAAACCAAAGTCAGACGCTGTGAAGAACATGCCACATCCTAACCATGTGGAAATGTTGGCCAATCAGAAATCTAGAAGCCTGGGAGGGAACGCGTAAACAGAGTTTTGTGCCCTCACCAAACCTTAAGTTTTTCTGGCAAGGCATCTAATTTTGTGTTACTTTTCTAATGCCTTCATCATTTCAAATGTTCATAACTAAAGACAGTATTTTGGATTTTGCCTCACTGGCTCTCTTGGCCAAAGTTTATTCGATAAAGAAAGAAACTGAAAATTTTACATTAGTCTGAGTGATTCATAATCACAAGTCGCAGCGCTCTGAAATGTGACTGGTGTAGACTCACAACTTAGGAATGGACAAAATGCACACAGCATACATTAATTACATTTTAAAAAGATTAAATTTATTCAAAACCGATGACGACGTTGGCGCCAGGATTTGGTTGTACCTGCGTTTGTAACAGCAACAGTATTTTGTCTCTTTTCGGCATTGTAGAAATTCATCTGACATAAACGATAACGTGGCGCGCAGCGTGACGTCAAAAACGGCGCACACCTTTGACGTTGCATGACTAAGTCTTTTCCTCTTCCACACGTAGACGCAAAAAAAGTTTTCGAAAATCTCCACCCTGGCAGGAGTTTTTAAAAATATCAGTTTTCAGTGACCCAAACCGCCGTTTACATGAAGGCATAGAAAAAGCTGAGTGTTCTAGAATACTCGTGTCTGTGTACACGTAGCCTTCTGGGGTATTTTTACATTGATCTCTATACATTTCCATATAATCGGTAAATGACTTAGAAAACTGAATTACATTTGTCTACATGTGTCTACATATAAAAAAGAAAAGAAATAAAAGCCATCATATTCTGTATATAACAAGTTTGTCAAATAACTTGAGCACCATCCTGGTTATAAATGTCTGCTACACAGATTTTTAATTGATTCTTTTTTTGTTCTTCTGGGTTGCTATTGATTTCCATTAATTTCCATATAATCCTTAAAAAAATTAGATCATCTCTGTCTCTCTTCCACAGCATCCTGTTTTCCTTCTCTCTCCCCAACCGGCCAGATGGCCCCGCCCCTCCCTGAGCCTGGTTCTGCTGGAGGTTTCTTCCTGTTAAAAGGAAGTTTTTCCTTCCCACTGTCGCCAAAGTGCTGCTCATAGGGGGTCACATGATTGTTGGATTCTTCTCTTTATGCATTACTGTAGGGTCTACCTTACAATAAAGCGCTTTGAGGTGAATGTTGTTGTGATTTGGCGCTGTGTAATTAAAACTGAATTAAATACTGGTCTTTGCTTTAGTTTTTAAGGACATAATATAGTTTGGAACTTGAGGTTTAATGTCTGAAACTGCAGAAAATTAGTTTCCATAATTTTCATGTCCCCTAAACCTTTAAAAGTTACTATCTTTTATTCAACACAGCATTAATGGAAATCAACGGTTGCTTAAAATGATAAAAACATAAAAAGACGTCTGTTTTATGGTTTACCTGCTTGTTTCCCAGGACGACCACAGGCAGCTGGGGCTCCACCCTCAGGAGGCGGTGCAGTTCAGCTTTAGCCAAAGGGAGGCGGCTTCTGTCAGACGAGTCCACCACGTACACCAGAACGTGAGTCCGTCTCAGGTAATCTGACCAGTAGCGCCGCAGATCCTCACCACCACCAACTGCAGCACAGAAAACACACCGCAGACATCTTTGACTGCGTCGGCGATCTCATTTTCCACCTGAGGTGCGCGAGTCATCTGCCAGACGGTTGGCAGGACTTGGACTTCTCTACGTGATCTTCAAGCTTGGCTAGTCTTTAGACATTACTGGACAACACATAATAAAAACTGGTTGTTGTTGAGCAACACCCGGCCTGCAGGCTTCAGTATCTGTGGAGGATTCAGCTCCTGAAGCGATACACGATTCTCCTCAGCAGGAGTTCTCATAATTAACAAACAAGGACGAGACATTGTTTTACTGTCGCTCCCTAGAGGGGATCTGTTTGCCCAAAATAAAAAGGGTTTATTTTTAAGTGTGTACCAGCACACATAACACTGCGTTCAGAGAAAAGGAGGCTGTTTGTCCATTGATTCATACAAAAAAACCAAAAAACAACAACAACAAAACAATTGTCAGCCAAAGAAACACAGTATCCCCACACACCCCGACTGACCGCCATGCTCAAGGCCATTTCACTGAAGGAAGGCTTTCGGTTAAATAAAAGGACAGATCGATACGCAGAATTAGATGCGCTGTTGGCATCCCCACTTTAAACAAATTGGCCACAGATTAATTTCACATCTGCACCGGACTGAATGCAATCTGATTTTCACCGAGGGATGAAACAGGCTGAGACGGCACTCAGGCATTATTTACATCCACAGTTTGCTCCTGGGCAAATTAGTCTGATTCATTTTTTCCATCTTGTTGCCTCCAGACATGATATGTTAAAGAGGCTCAGAGTAAAATATGACAGTGCAGCAGCGATTTCTCTTCATTTAATGGGTCTGAATTGGGTTTTATTTCATGGAATTTATTCAGTTTTTCTTGTTTTCCTGCAGCCCAGAGGCTCAGTTTATTCTTAGTTTTGGGGGAAATACATTAGTATTGATGTGGTTTTGGTTTTACTTTATATTTTGTCCCCTTCTTGAAACTTTTTCTTATTTGTTTTCCTTTCCTTGTGTTCTTTTCCAGAGACACTATAAATAATTGAGGACACATCTCATTTATAATGTGTGCAGGCTTCTTGGATTAGTTTGGCTGCATGAAACAGCAGCAGCTCAGTCATCATGATTTAAACATTGAGGAATGTGAGGATTCATTTTGATTAGGCTGTTTAATCCATTCACATTTTTACACAGTAAATAATGGAAGTCAGTGGTTGGTTATAGAGCAACATCAAAGTGTAACATTTTTAATGGCGTGATTTGGAGTTTTGGGCCATTTTAACACTTGTAGTTCAGTTACGTTGACCAGATTCAGTTGATGAGTCTATAAACTTTTCCTCACACTTTGATTTCCTTGCACACAGAGTGAACTGCAAGTCAAGCCCAAAGGCTTTCAGCTCTAACTTCTATCTTACAACTGGTAGTTTGGTCGGTTTGAGGTTGGATCACATTCTCGCCATAAACAAACCAGATCGAGTCCTCCAAACTGGGCTGAACCAGAGTTTGACTTGGACGGCCTAAAGGGTGCAGGTGTGAAAATACTCTTACTAGGCCACCACTGACTTCCATTAACTTCTGTACAATCTGGGGGCGATCGTGGCTCAAGAGTTGGCCGTTCGTCTTGTAATCGAAAGGTTGCCGGTTTGAGCCCCGGCTCGTACAGTCTCGGTCGTTGTGTCCTTGTGCGAGACACTTCACCTACCGCCTACTGGTGATGGCCAGAGGGGCCGATGGTGCGATATGGCAGCCTCGCCTCTGTCAGTCTGCCCCAGGGCAGCTGTGGCTACACCTGTAGCTGCCTCCACCAGTGTGTGAATGAATTGTAAAGCGCTTTGAGGTTCTCGAAAAGCGCTTTACAATGCAATCCATTATTATTATCTAAATCGATAAACGTGAATTGATACTAAACTATAGAAATGAACAAACATCAAACGTTGCCTAGAAATGTAGCTCCAAATGTCCAGTGCCTTTGGAAAACATTTAGCTGTGCTCTGAAACGTTTAGACCTCACTGGACTCCATCCATGTGATTTAATCCCACAGCTAATTACCAGTGTTGGTCATTACTAAGTACAGTAACGGTTAATACACCAGTATGTGAAAACTCTCTAATCTGAATATTCTTTATCCTGAAATAAAATTATTGAATTTTCAAATCTGCTGTTTTACAAAACAGCAGAAAAAAACAAAGGACATCATTATTTTGTGGTCAAGATGTAAATTACAGTTTTTTACTTTCCTGAACAGAAAACTTTTTTTAGTGGTTGAATGTTACGCTTGAATAATTTGCTGGCTCTAACTTGAATATAAAATCCTGAATTCAGTTAGTTTTTTCACTCATAAATAACAATTTAGGCGTTGCTTTTTCTTCTTCTTCTTTACATATTTCTGGGGGGGAGGGAGTGTTTCTTGTTTTTATGACTAGTGATCTAAAAAATCTATTAAGAACGTTAATAGATTTTACATTTGACCGCACATTCACATGTATTTCTTAAATGCATCCTGTGCACTTTTAGACTTTGGTTGTATTTTTAAACCGTTATAAGCAGCCATTCACTTCCATTAATTTACATATCATCAGTAAATCAATGAGAAAACTTAAGAGTTGTAGATCTGTGCTGTTTTTCTGCACTCCCCAGGCAGTCACTGATTTCCATTCGTTTCCATAAGATCTATAAATCAACCAGAATACTCAGCTATGTTGTGTAATCCATCGACCCGAGCATGAAGTTTTCCTTTTATTTGGTTTTTCCTGCTTTCTGGGATCACAGAGGAAACAACTCAGTATTGATTTGTTTTCATTTCCATTGTTTTGAGTGGAACTGAGTAATAAGAGTAATTGGGGACACATCTCATTTTTAAATCTACTGATGTACAAGATTCTTGTATTTGTTGCAGCGTGATTTAAACCTGGAGCAATGAGACCAATTGTAATATAAAAACCCTTCATAAGGTAAAGTATAAAGTAAGAAGAAGAAAAACAGCCATCTACAGCATTTCAGTACCAACACTGTTTGTACCAAACAGTCACAGGTCACATTTGCTAGAAAATCAGTTTCCAGCTTCAGTGGTTTGGAAAGTCTGCAGCAGAAGTGACCTCCGGCTGCAGGAACCAGCGGTGCTCGACGGCCAAACGAATCACTGCTCACAGCGGCGAGTAAGACTTTAGGTCCTAAGTGCCTCTGAATCCAAGAGAGTAGCAAGAATTCATTAGTGCTGGACCTAATGGGAAATGTTGCTAGGAAACTGGGGAGTGCTGTACTATAAGCTGATGTGATGTGGCAGCAATAAATACCTGTTTACCCGATGCAGTATGGAGGCCGGACCCGGCGCTCGGCGGCGTGAGCAGCTTGTGTTTTATTGTCACGGCGATCTCAAAGGGATGCTGGTCCTGCTGCTCTACAGGCCACCTTATTAAAGACCCTCCCACGCGTGTGCGCGCAGTCAACACTGAGTCACACGGGTGTGAATGATGTGGGCGTGTGTCTGTACCCACCTAACTGCTTCAGCTGCAGGCCTCTGTGCAGCAGCGCCGACGAGGAATTTACACCTGATTTTACAGCCAAAGTTCGACTGTCACACCCAGATTTGTCGTGTTGATACCTTGTCACATGATATCTCAGTTCAAAACTTGGTGTTTAAGTACAAAACCTTTTAACCTGTTATTCTCCAAAAGGTCTTTAAAGTTTGCCTCTTTAAAGCCTCACAGATGCACGTGGGCATGCTTCATGTCTGCTAACGCAGCCAAAGTTCAACTCAAAACTTTGACTTGAATCCAGATTTTGACCCGTTGTTGCACCGCTGTCTTCACTCTCACAGGCGTGCACCACGTCCACGGGACAGTAAGTATACTGTGGTAGCGTAAATTTTAAAATAAACACTAATTAGTGGACCTAGGCTTGATTTAAATTAGCAGAGCATCGATTTACTGTCTGAACATGAATACCATCAAACATTCACCTTGACTGTCACTGCGGCTCCTCGTTCATGTCAAAAATCTACATAATGACTCACAGACATTAGAAAAATAGTGAGTTTATTAAATGGATTTCCAAAAACTTTAACTATTATTTAACCTAGTAAATAAATATATATGAAATGAACTGAGCATGCCATGGCTAGTTTGGGAATTCACCTGGCGGCAAAAGTAAAGAACAGGGATGTGTGCAGAGGAAAAATTAGCTATTACAAAAGAGGATTATCCTAATTATCTATTTTTTTAAATTAATAGAAGGTAAGGTTGTAATTGCAATTGGAATAAAATTAATAACACTGTCCTAACGGCCACCAGTCATGAACTAATTCAATTTAACTGGACCTCTGACACATTTAGTTGGTAAGTTGGTTTTTCAGCATTTCTAATGACATTGTCGGACAAATGTTGACTCACAAACAGCTGCTCAAAGCTAAGAATAAAAAAACCATACTGACAGTGCGGTGACGCTCGTTAAACTCTTTGCACCATTACAAAAACCCATCAATATTTTCATCAAACCATACAGGTGCTGAAAGTCCCCGTCGGTATGACGACTACTTTATGAGCGCTCATAGCAGCGCTTATGACCGAGGGTAACGTAAAGTTCAAGCTGAGGGGCAAGAACGAGGAAATGGTGGATAGTGCAGACAGCACTATAATAATGATAAAACACAAACCCACTGACAACACAGCTGTGCAAATAACCATAAATGATTTTTGGTTATTTTGGTAATTTTTACCATTTTGGGGTTTTTTTTCCCTCAGATGTTGGGATGTCGTGATTTTTATCAATACAGTGGAACCCCGGCTTACGAAGACCGAACTTTTAAAACCTGTTTTTATATGAGAATAAGAAAAAATCTTGGATATTTTCTGGTGCCATTAAAGGTCGTGCAGCTTTGTCTCTTTTTTTGACATCAGACTGGTTGAAGGATTTCTGTAGAGTTAGATTATATCTGTTGTACATGTATCACAGACCGCTGTATCTGTATCGCGGTCTCGGGTTTTTGTGATGTTTGTTTTGATTTTATTCTTCTTTCAGTCTCCCCAGAGTTTCCATGCCTTCGGCTTCCTCTGTCTTCTTCTTGCCTTCATCATCCCTGTTTGTTTTGGATAATCTCATTTCCTGTGCTTTTACTTCATTTCTTCGTCTGCTCTCTCATATTTTCCGCCTGCCTCGTCTTCTCCGTTTCTTCGTTCCTTTGCTTCTTTGCCTTTGTTACCTCTGATCGGACACTATTTTTTAAGTGATTAAATCCCAGCACATGGCAACACAATTTGTTTATCAAAGCTTGTAAAGTGGACATGCCATGCTGAAGGAAAAAGCTGAGGATTTAGGGCCTCACCACTGACAGTTTCACTTCCCTTTTACACAAAACCAAATCTCATCATCAGCTCAAAGCCTAAAACTACTTCTCCATCTGATCTGGTGTTAGTTCTTTTATTTATAATTCCTCCGAGGACTCCATAAAGAGATCCGTGCACCGTACTGCGTCTCACCTGTCAGCATGCCTCTGAGTCAACGTCACCGACACAAAGACACTTTAGACATTTAATGCACAGACCCGCTGAAGTATTGTGCCTGTGTGGGTGGTGGCGTGAGCTCTTCTTACTTTCGCGGATGAGAAAAAGATTAGTGGCGCCCACCGATAGCAGTGTTCAGATCAGTGAGCGTGACACATTCCTCTAAATACATCGGCCAATCACGGCTGACCACGCATGTTGGCTGAATGCAAAGCCAAGTCATTCAGGTTATTATTAGTGCTGTGGAGCACTAATGTGATGGATTTATTGATCCTGCCAGCAAACGTAATGCAATCTCACTTTACCACCATAGTGTGAAATTAAACAGAAATACACTTTCCAGGCTTCTTTGTCACAGTCAACTTTCGTGATACCTTGATACTGAACGTTTCAGTCGCTGAACAAATAACAATATAACAAGAGCCATTGCCAGAGATTGCCTTGTGATTGCCTTTGTGTTGGCAGTGATGGATGATGCGAGCTTTCAGGGAAGAAAAACAACTGAAGTTGTGGATCAAATCTCCCTTCAAGTTCAACTCAAACATAAAGCCAGTGGAGTTACTTCCCAGCACCTAGAGCAGATCAATTATGGACATTACCAGCTTCACGTTTTCATACTTTCTGGACCAAACAAAACTGTATGAACATATTTTTCTGTTTTAAATTTCTTTTACACCACTTGTTATTTTTTGAGAACATCTTGTTGCAAGCTTGGAAATATTCTAATGTTAACAAGCTAAAAGCCTTTGGTTGTTTGTACTTCATCAAGCCAACTATGAGTAGGGAATCCAACATTACCCAGCATGCTAGCAACCAAAGCAATGACAATGAGGAATTTGGTGCAGCACCCTCTGCATGACCAGTGTCTGGGCCTGTGTGAATGGAGCTTTATGGGTCGAATTCACAGGAACGGACAGCAAACGAACAGCAACTGGACAGTGAATATAATTTCAATCAACTGGTGGTTACCACATGGTTGTCAACTGGTCTCTAGGCCTGTGTGACTGTAATCTAAGATGCTAATCTGTATGTTTAATTAGTGTTAGCATCATCCTGTGCTAACTGACGCTAACAGTGGTAAAGGGTAGTAAAGGGTCTAGCTTAACAAATGTCAACAAGCTAACGAGCTAAACACTTTAAAGTGGCAGAGATGTGCTAACATTAGCACACACTCACTCATCTCCATAACTTGCTAATGTTTTAAAAAATCAGCAAATTTCATTCACCAAGTCTGAGCTCTCACAACTTCATGCTAACATTTTATGAACCCGGTTTTCCACAGTGCGTCTCCATCATGTCTGCAGAGCTGTTTGATTCGAGGCAGTTTTATGAAACAAATGGCCAACTGAACTGAACAGTTGTGCTCTTTCCATTTCTCCATTTCATGCTGTTTGATAAAACATCAATGCTCGCTAGACTCCACACAGAGCAGTATTTGATTAGGATGGATAAAAGGAGCCTTACTCTCCAGGAAGTCGAGCTGACAGGCGGGGGCGTTGAGACTCATAAAGTTGAAGCCGCGGGTGGGCCGGCACCGGCCTCTCTTAGCCCCTGAATCCCCGGGGGTCAAACCCTGTAGCATGCTGCTCTTCCCGGCCCCGTCCAGACCGAGTACCAGGACCTGGCGCTTCCCACGCTCCTCTTCCTCCTGCAGGCAGACCGCAGAGCTGTTAATGTTTGCAAATGCTTGGAAATGTTGAGTTGAGGCAAAGATTAAACACATCACTTATTCAACAGAGTGAGGGTGAAGCCTTTGGTTTCGAATATTTGTGTTGCACTTTGAGCTTACCAAACCACAAGCAGTTCATCAAAATACAGGAAATATATGCACAGTGATGGGCCAGGTTGGAGGGCTTCGCACATCAAGGAGAACATTACAACAAAATATCACCTCCAGGAGTGAACATCAGTTGTTCTAGTGGAAAATCTCTGCAAAGTCAACACTCAGAACATGGTTGAAGGGTGTTTCTCCGGTCTCTCCTATAAGCCAGGTCAAGTCTGCTCAGGTCCCAGCAGAGATGGGCATTACTTTTTTCAAGTAACGAGTAAAGTAAGGGATTACTATTGCAAAAACGGTAATTAGATTACTGTTACTTTCCCATAGGAACGCTGCGTTACTGCATTTTTTGCGAGAATGTCTCATGACAGTGACGTAAGCGAGTGCGACGTTAGTGGCAACAGCTGTGTGCAGATCAACAATGGATCACATATCGAGTGCAGAGAGAGTATGAGCGTGCAGCGTTTAAAGCGTGGAAGTACTGACCTTACTTTGAGTTTGATTCCATAAAAAGTGACAAAAACATTAGTGTCCGCTGTGCGTGGGAAGAAAACTTCTTTTTACAGCGAAAAAAACCCCTAAACTTCCAAGCAAGCACCGAGTAGCTACGACGTAATGGGAAACTCACAGAGAAACTCGCGGATTCTTCCACTGACCGCGGCACACCTGCACCAGGGTAAACCTCCGCCTACCCACTCCTGCTTTACAGGTGAAAATAGAGCAACAGGACCGCTAGTCTTTGACTTTATTTATTTTCTGCTGTGTTTTACTTGCATCTATTTGAAAGACTGAGTGTAAACACAAAAATATTTTATTTTATGTGCTGGAATGTGCAGAAAATAGGTTTAAATGTTAAACTAATTTCTTCCAGTCAGAGAATGTTGCAGATAATTAAATGTTTGCTTGATGCATAAAGTTAAAAGATTAAAACTAATAAAACAAGTTTTAAAAAGAGACTTTTCCATTTGATTACATTTTGTATGATGGATTATGCAGAAAAAGTAGAATTGGGCTGAAAGATCTATTTATCACCTCTTCAGGGTGTAAATCGTGTTTTTAAAAAGTAACTAAGTAACTAATTACTTTTTGGGGGAAGTAATCAGTAATTAGTTACTGATTACTTTTTTCAAGTAACTTGACCAACACTGGGTCCCAGTGACGTTAATTTTGTCGTCAGACCGTGAGTGAGTGCTGTGAGGATGTCCATCTGTCCGCCTGTATTTACTACAGGCGATGCATGTGTCCCAGGCAACAGGCTTCAATCAGACTTAAAGAAGTTTAACGATAATAAGTATTCCAGCTGTCCGAGCCTACGACAGAGTGTAATCATGTACCGGCCGTTACAAATGCAGATACATACAAACAGCTGAACGGATAAACTGGTCTGGCTCTACCTTCAAACACCGCGACGAGCTGCTTTTCAACAAGGAAGGATGTTTCTGTCGAGCTTTAACTTCTAATATCTGTTTACTGTTTGGGTCAATTGGTTTGCATCTTATTTCACACGCACTAGAATTTAAGTTTAAACTAACAACGCCGGCTTTTTGCCTCCTAGAAACAGGTGGAAATAATTCAGCTCTATTCGCTAAATTGCTGCCAGTTTCAGTACAGCAGAAAAGGCTCTCTGCTCGGAGTGAGTCTCTGAGTTCAGAATTGATTAACAGACACTGAGATACTGAAAGTCAAGAGTCCAAAAATAGCTGGTGAGCATGTTTTTCAGGGCCACCTGTAATATGACACAGCCCAGACACGTGTTTGTCTTATTGTCACATTTTTTAAATTCACCATTCTGGACATTTCAAGAACCTCACCTTGGCTGCAGGGACCTAATAAAGGACAAAGCCAAACTGCAAAAGCAGATTACCTAGTAATGAAAGGATGTTCGCACAGCTCTGGTTGGATCAAACCGAATGCCTGACTCTTCTGCCTTTCAGCTAGAAGCAGGTATTTTAACTTGATGTTTGTGTTTTTTCACACCGGGTCGCCTCTTCAAACTAAACTGAATGCATTAGACTTTTGGGAATTTGGCACTGAAGACTCCTCATAATGTGCAGGAATATGAATCAGCTTCTGCAAACCTCAAGGGGCACCGCTCGTGATATTATACTTTAATGAAAGAGCAGGCATCCTTTTATTACTTTTATTTCAGGGCAGATTTGTCTCAGCGAGCCTTCTGCGTGTGCAGGAATAAAGAAACGCGAGTCTCAGAGAAGGCTTCAAACGTCGACGCGCTCTGAAAGCGCCCGAGAGGCTCGGGGACGTCACGGCCCCTCTGAGATCCCTCACACGTCAGTCATCTCCTTTTTAAAAGTCACACAAGGTTGGTCTTTATTCATGCCGTGTGCTGATGTGCAGCCGCAGCTCTGTAGAGGTTAATTACCAATTCATATCAGCCCTTTTAGAGTGCAGATGTGTCAGCTTCTTATTAAAAATACCACTTTGCTGATGGATCATCAAGCGCTAAAATTATTCCTTCAGAATCAGTTAATTTGATTCCCTAACAGATGAAACCACCTCATAATTACCCAGCAAGCACTGCAGAAACAGGCCAGATGAAGAGTCTGGGATATTTTGATGATGGATTGCGTTTCTTCTGACGTCTTTCTGGCTGTAATCGCCGCCTGGTGCTGCCGGATAAATGCAGCAGCAGATAAACAAGGCCGCTCTGACAGCTCTGAAGCTCGCCTCCGTGTTTTTCTGGCTGAGTCGGCCCACTGGGAGATCAACCTCAAACCCTGACAGCGCAGAAGCCTCACTGTAGCTGCTGAGGCTGCAGAGCCACCGCTGCTCCTAACAGGGCGCGCCGTGCATCCATCTCCATCGTCTGATTGGCTCCTACCTGGACTGCAGGCGTATTCAAATGATCTAAAATGACTTTAAGTGAAACCAGCAATTCAATCGTCTCCTGTTCCCTCTGTAACTTTCTCTTTAAACTTTTTCTTGTTGCTTCAGACATTTCTCATAAAAACTGGTGATACTGAATCGATTTCTTTTGCTTTGCTGCCCCGCGGGGAGGTTGAAGAGTCCCGGCTCGGCTGCAGATCAGCGCTGCTGGATCTGACAGAGGTTTAACGTCTCTCTCAAGGACACTCCACCCAAGCAGACGCTCAGCAACGCAGCAGCTTCCAGCCGAGGGAGCGGTAAAGCCAGCTCGCCTGCAGCTCTGAATAGCAAGTGTACAGCTGCGGTTTACTCAGAGAGGAGGCAAAAGGAGCTATCGTCCTCTAACGACACCACATGCTGTCGGCCGCTCGTGTTCCATGACTTCTCCTGTGATTACATGTGACTTCCTCTCTCTCTCGCGTCTACTTCCACTTCAGTGATTTCACTGCAGCCAGACTACGAATAACAAGCTTCAACTTGTGGCAAAAAGACACGATCGAGTACCATCAAGCATCGACTGAGGGTTAAAAATGCTTCCTCCTTCCCAGGAAATGGAAGTCAAACTCAAGTCTGAGCTTCGCCTGGAATAACAGGAAGTGACAGGAAGGCTCTCTGCGGACACTATCTGATCAACAGCAGCTTTATCAACGCCCAGAAGTCGAGAGTCCAAAGATAACCAGAAGTTTTGGTTAGAGAGCCAGCCGAGTACTTCCTGACTGACGTGTTAATAAAGTCAGTGAGAGCTGGTTTTAGTTTTAACCTCTTTGACATGTACTTCCTAAGAAAACTGCAGCTTCATGGTGGAAGCCTGTGACCTGATTCACAGCATCTTCGAGCCAAAAAGCAACAAACTGGGAGAGAGATGATTTCAGCCGAGAAGGAAGGCGGAGCATCTTGCGTCGTCACTGAGCTTATACCCATTACCGTGAGAGAATTCCCGTTCTCAAACCACACAGTCTTCACGGTGATGTTTGAAGCTACACAGCAACGACGATGTGGGGTCACCAGCGGTGAACGGAGGTTTCAGAGAGAAGAACGCAGCTACGCCACACCATGTGTAATCAGCCCCGTTTCAGTGATGGAGCTGTAAGGCCGAGCTTTACTTGTATTTATCTTATAGTACGGGCTCACTTCCTGACACGGGCTCTGTGAGACCTGTGGAAGTACGTTCAAGGACAAAAGTCAAGATCGAAAACTTTGCATTTACCTCAGGACATTTCTGGTTTTATTAAAGGCCACAAACGAGCAGAGGCTGTCGGATAAAGGTCTGTGAAACAGACTGCTGGGAGCTGACTGTCTGCAGCCCTCCTCTGGAACTGCAGTGAGAATATATTCTATTCCTGGACTAAATGTCACACAGGCTAAAATACTCGATGTGGACTCCTCACCAAGCTGTATGCGAAAACGCCGTTGAGACGTTACATTTGCAGTGAAATCGTGCCTGTAGACCTTTTATCTGGGCCGCGGTGAGGATCTCATTTCCCAGCTTGGTCCTCGCTGAACCTGAATTTGACACCTCTGACTTATGATGCTGCGATATTTTAAGACTAGATGAAACTCCCGTACCACTGCACCCTGACACAAAGCAGAGAGTGAGCACACACGCCTGTCGATGTATGAAATACTAAACCTAACGCATTAACTCACGCTAACATGAATCGCACCACATTGAGATACTTGTGACCGTGTTCCCATAACTGAGTTTTTCCTGGTTTAAGGGGTGATAACGTCCACAATTGGAGGCTGCTGGACCCATTATTCACGTTCAAGGCCAACAAGTATTATTATTTTTACCCTTAATCTCGCATTACACACTAAAATGACATGTTCTTATGAGCTTTACTTTGAGAATAAAACTACTCAGTAAGGTTTGGAAACTACAAATGAAAACTTAGGTTTGGGCAATAAATCCCTGGATAGTTTTAGGTAACTAATTAAAACTACTCGTTTAAGTTTAGACAATTTAAACTACTCTTATGTTACATTAAGGTAAAGAAAATAATTCTGTTAGGTTTCAGTAACAAAACTAGTTGGTTAGGTTTAAACAATTAAAACAATTCCGTTAGGTTTCGGTAACTAATTAAAGTTTAAGCAATTTAAACTACTATTATGTTATGTTAAGGTAAAGAAAATAATTCTGTTAGGTTTAGGTAGTAAAACTAGTTGGTTAGGTTTAAATAATGAAACTATTTAATTATGTTTAAGTAGTGAACCTATAATGAAAACTGCTATTATGTTACATTTAAGGAAAGAAACTTATTCTGTTAGGCTTGTGTTGTGAAACTACTCGGTTCGGTTTAGGCAATACAACCCTGGTTAGGTTTAGTTAAAGTTGTGCTAACTAACAACAAAAGGACAACACATGTCTTGTACGTGCACAACAGATTAGATTCTTATAAGTTTAGTCACATTTTCACTGCTGGACATTTCTGTGGAGTCTGGAGACCATCGCAGTCACGGGTACCTGAACACCTCTCGAATGTGGCAGAACTGCACAAACGGTTAATAATGTCAGCACAGAGCAAATCTCAGAGGAACAACAGCAACATTTAACAACAACGAAAGTGCCTGTAGAGACGAGGCCGCGGAGTCACAGACGATATGAAAAAGTGGGATTAATATAAGATAAAGGCCTCGGAAACCATGGTCTACCTAACAAAATAGCGAAAGAAAGAGCAAAACGAAGTGCTCCTGTGGGTGTTTGTCGCTCTGTAAATGAGCGTGTCCTGCCCTCCCACCTGCTTCGACTCCTTGGGGTCAAAAACACGCTGTTAGTCCCCCCCCCCCGCTTTCCCGAGACGTGATTGGAACGAATCCCCAGACTGAAACATTTACATCTCCTCTGTGGCGAGCCGCCGGCAGACGCCCGCACTATCCCCCGAAGACGGGCTGAGCCAGATAAACCAGGCTAAGCCCATTACAGGCTGCTGCTGATTGAATCGAGGAAACAAGATTAGAAACATGCAAATAGATTTTATTAAGAGATTCAGGCTGCAGCTGTGAAGACTCATTCATTAAGACCCTCCGCTCGCTGCCCGCCTCATTTCTGTTTTTCTGTCTCTCTGCAGGAAGCTGAGATAAACAATCATATTCCCACAAGGAAGCTCGCTACTTCAGCATCACCTTGAACACGATTTCCCACTTTTTTCTCTTTTCAGCAGCAGCAATTAAAGCTGAAACAATCTGCAAGTGTTTTAATTATTAAGTCAGTCATTTACCCACGAAAAGCTGTGAGTACTTCAGGGGTTTTTGTCTTTAAGACACTGGGGTGGCCTTTTTCTCTGATTTGAGTAAAATAGAACTCTGTAAACTGAGAACACAATCAGCAAATGTAATCGCTTAATCTTTGCTTCTTTCTGGAGAAGCCATTGGTCATGAGGACGTTAAAAAAGCTGATCAGAAAACAAACGTGTCTGAGAAGAAATTAATTCAGCGTGCTTTTCTATTTGACATCTAAAAAAATTAAGCTAGCATGGAAGTTTCCGAACCTGCAGTTCCTCAAATGGCCACTTGAGGTCCCATAGACACCTACTTTAAGACGTAAACACCATCTTTGGATGGTTTGTCTCATTTACTAATACATTAAAACACCACAGATAAAATATCGCTGTAGCTACCGTAACGTTATAATTAATGAGGAGAAGCTCACGAGTGCCCCCTGCTGAAGCTCTGTCATAACTGCACCCGATTTCTGTACAGTGGGATTAACAGGAAGTAGAACAGCTTCCTTCAGTCAAGGGTGGGTGACGCCCATGTCTTAAATATCACTGGTGTCCATGGTTACTAATTTGGAGGGGGCGGGGCTTTTGACCTACAGTTCAACCACCCACCAGGGGGCGATCAATACACCTCTGGAGCTGTCACGTTACATAATGCTGTCCTGTTAATATAAAATAAAGTGCAATACATCAAAGTCTTCAAATCATGCTCACTACATTCTCCCACCTTCATCACCACCACCTTCATCATCATCATCATTAATTATCAGTAACGGCTCATTATCAGCACCACCTCCTTCTTTTCTTCTTCTTCATCACATCTTTCTGTTTTCTCATAATGCCACCGGCACATCTCCACCAAGCATCAGCACATCTCCAGCAGCTCTAATGACTCTGCAGCGTCTCCTCGCCTCAGGCAGGGGTCCCTGAACGCGCTCCTCACCAAGTTAAACAGTTCAGCTCAATTTAAATTAAATCGATTAAACGTCTAAAATTACCAAACTCTGAGGGTTGAGTGAATAACCTGCCCTCCCACCTCTTTGATGGTGCAGTACTCCGCCTGCGGGGACCATAACCGCCTCTTGTAGAAGTAGTTCAGCGCGATGAAGAGCGCGGAGCCGAGGGCAGCCACGGCGGCGGTCAGGGCGATGGAGATGTGCCGGAGGAGAACCATAGGTGGCGGGTGAGGTGGCGGAGGAAGCCGGGAACGGGAGCCGGACACACCGCTGCTGCTTGTTCCTGGACGCCGACGGCTCGACTGACTTCCTCGTTCCTCGTTCCTCGCGGCTCCGCGCTCGTGCTGCGGCTGTGCGCGCTACATGTGACCGAGCCGCTCTGATGTTTTTGTTCCCAGACGCAGAAAAAATGCTGCGTTCAGGCGCTGCTCGGAAATTTCCCTTCTCCTCTGTACAAGCGCGTTTAACTAATACACTGACGGTCAGCGACTGCTTTGATCCCTGATTAAGAACAAAATGTACTTTTTTCTTTTTTAATCTGTCATAATCTAATGATTTATATGACGATTTTATTTGTTCCTGGCCTACTAACGTTGATACATTTATTTATTATTGCGTTATAATGATATAAAATTATTGAATTTTGTGAATATGCATATTTGTACGAGAGCCCGACTGATACCAATACCAAGTCATAGATAACTATTTACACAAATTCTGCTCGGATCAGCTGATTGTTGTGTTTGTAATGTTCCAAGCACCTGTTGCAAACAGAGAAGTTCTAAAGCACCCCCTGGTGTACAAACCAGACTATGCAGCACCAACATTCATAACGGAAATTAAACGTTCTTCTTTAATTCTTCATTACTTTTTCACTTATCAGCTTTTTTAAATTCCAAGACCAATATAAAGGTAGACAGCTAGTATTTACTCATATATATACTGGAAGTGTACCCCACAGTGATGTACCCCACAGTGATGTGCACCACAGTGATGTACCCCACAGTGATGTAACCCACAGTGATGTACCCCACAGTGATGTAACCCACAGTGAAGTGCACTGTGGATTTTACTGTTGCTGTAACCAATTACAATAACAGTAAAAAGAAATATATTTCATGCTTCACTTCAATTTAGTGGATATTTTATTCCTGTTATATAAAACAATTATGAAGGGAAGAACATCGTTTGAATATTTCCTCCTGAAAAAGCAGCTCAAATCTAGCAAAGTGCTTCATTAAGAAAGCACTCAAAGCTGGAAACACATCTGTTAGTGAAGGCGTTTCCTTTTTTCCACAGTAACAGAGGCTTCATGGAGGCCTGACCCTGCATCCCACAGCAGGCACAGCTTCATCCACTGCTTCATGAATGCAACAGTGCCAAAAGAGTGACACAGCTGCTGCGATAATGATGGAGAAGCAGCGTCGTTTTTCACTTTGTGACTGAGGGGATAAAAAACCCTTCTAGCTCGCGCTCCACTGGTCTGAGTTACACCTGCAGTCCTGTGGAAGATGACATTATCTACTCAGAAACACAGACGCATAAGTGTTTATAATAATGGAAATGGTCAAAGGCTCTGTTTTGGACCCTTTTGCTGTCACAGCTACTTTAACTCTTCTACAGGTTGTTGGACACATCCCTGTCCCTCACATCAGAAAGGTCAGAGGTCACACATTGTCCTTTTTTGCTCTCCCAGTTCCAGTTTCCCTGATCTGCTTGGCAGTTTGTCCACCTTTGTCAAAATGTTGCTGTGATATTTGACTCTTGCTTTAAGTTTGACAAGCAGATGAACTCAGTGCTTCTTCCATCCATGCTCTGCATTAAAAATGATGCCTTTTCTTTCTGTGACTGATCACAACATTCTCATTCATCCCCTCATTTCCTCATGTTTGGACTACTGCACTTCCCTTTATGCTGGCTGTATCTGATAGGCTGGGTTACAGGCACTTTCAGGCCTGGTGGGTGTGTCCCTGCCAGGTGGCTGGCCACACCTGAGGAAATGATCACACACACCTGCAGCTGAGCTGATCAAGCCTCGTCGGAGGAGCTACTTAGGAGTGTGGTGGAGCTCTCGCTGATGCTGGATCATTATGTGACTACCTGTCAGTGGTTTCAACATATCCATAAGTGTAAGCCTGCCACAGTTATTTCCAACGAGGAGCCTGGAAATGAGGGCGCAGCAAGCACCGGGTGCATGGACACTGGGAGGAAGACATGGCACGGGAGTCTGGGGTCCACAGGGATTTATTGTTGTGTATTATTTACGTCACTGTAAATAAACACACTGCTTGCATTGAAGAGTCCTGCATTTGGGTCCTCCTGTCCCTCATTTCCATGGGCTGCCGGCGCAGCCGTGACAATTCTAGTGATTTAAACGACCAGTTTAGTGCAGTGGGAGCTAATGTGGAGTTTTTCCTACAGCGCTTGAAGGCAACAGAATTGTAAAATGTTAGGATGTTTGGGTTTCACTGTCAATTTAATGCCAGCAACTGCTGAGCAACAGAAAACTGTTGTTGAAGTTGTTTTATGCTAAAAAACAAACAAATTAAAATAACTGTTGAGGTGAATTAAAAGCATGATTGGACATGAAGAAGAGCTTCGCACAGTTTTTACAGATAAATATAGGGAGGGTTTCAGCTGTGAGCCTCAGGCCTTCAGGCAGCGCAGCACCAAAGACAGAAATGTGGTGATTCAGTGGCAGAAATCAATTTCTTAAAAACACGTCAGTGAACGCAGCTCATCACTGCGTCCTTCAGTTTCACTTGAATCCCTGTGAAGGAAAAACAGAAACAAGGCCGCGAGATAAACACTGAGCACACGCTTTGGTGACAGTGGGAAGGAAAAACTCCCTTTTAACAGGAAGAAACCTCCGGCAGAACCAGGCTCAGGGAGGGGCGGGGCCATCTGCTGCGACTGGTTGAGGGGAGGGGAGGGAGACAGGATAAAGAGATGCTTTGGAAGAGAGCCAGAAATTAATTATAACTGATGAATAAATAAGAGGTGTATAAAAAACGCAGTGAGTGAGGAAGATGCACCCAGTGCATCATGAGAAACCCTCAGTAGCCTAAGCCTAATGCAGCCATGCCCGTAACATCTGCACTATGAAGTAGTTTCACTCTTTGTTCTTGATGTTGGACTCTTGTTTGAAGAAATATCTGCACGATGGAAGAACCTGCAGGTGATGATAACCATCATTTCTCCCAACCTGTTCAGCACTGCGGAATATTGTCCTCCAGGGGGCGCTGTGGGCTTGAAAGTTTGGGCAGGTTAGGAGGTTTAACTGCTAACAAATAAGTGAATAACATTTAAACCAGGCTTTATGAATAAAACATTAATGTATGAGCCACAAAACTGAACAAAACTTTAAGTATCACCATAACTCGCAGCCTACAATGAAACTTTCTGTCAATAAAAATAATAAAAGTTGTAAATGTGGAGGTTTATCTGGGTATTTTTGTTTTGTTAATTTGTTTGATTTAAATTTTTAGACCAAACAATAAAACAATTTAAAAAGTACAAAACAGACAAAATATAATGTTTAAAATTTACCAATAATAATAATTATTGTTACTATTTATATAGTAATAATAAATAATAATCCATAAATATCCATATAATAAAAAAATGTAAAATGACATAGGTTAAGATAAGGACTTTTTTTCAAAATTTTGAATGGATTCTTACTGTTGTAGTAGAATAAAAGTTTAAATCATAAATAAAATTATACCACAAACTATAGAATATGCATAAATGCATAATTTGCTATTTTTAAATATTAAATTAAGGTAGAACAGCAATGCTTCCATAAAAATAAAAATAATTTAATGAAAACTGAGTTACTGAGATTTGAAATTTTTATTTTTTAAGTTTTTGCTTTCAAAATACTTTACTTTGATTCACTTTACAGAGTAGATTTTATAGTTTCAGGTGGATTTTTGATCATTATTTTTAATCATGAAAGTTGTTTGTCAGGAGCAAGATTTTGCAAAATCGGAACAGCTGTTTGAATAAAAACACAGCACGTGTGCATTTCTATTTTACTGTAGGTTTTATGGTAAGTTCTAAGTGTTTATTCTTAGTGAATTTTAATCTTGTTTGTTACTAACTTAACTCACACCTAGTTTTGATTGTTTTAGTTGTAACTTTTTTTAACTAACGTTTAGCTATAGTTCACTGCAACATTCTCTTTTTTAACATAGATTTAATTTTAGTGATATTTCAATACAATAACCAAAAGTATTTACATTTAATGTTTACCTTCACTATAGGCCTTTTACTATGTTGTGTTATTCATAGACCCCTGTATATTTTATTCTTCTTCCTGCTGCTATAAAACAATATTTTTCTCATGGTATCAGTAAAAGTATTTTTCGGAAATTGTTTTGCCCGAAAGTCTTATTTTGTGTCCTGGAGTTTGTCAACAAATATTTTATTTTGAAACCGGAAGTCGGGTTGAGTGGCTGCCGTTAGATTGATCGGTTCGAGCGAAGTCATCGGGACCGAAGAAGACTTTACCGCCACCGCTGCCACTGCTGCAGTCTCCCTCTGCCCAGCTTTCACCGGAGGATTTTTACGGGATAACAGAGAAGTTCTTCGGCTATTTAGCGGATTTTAACGGCTGTGAATTCTCTCGGTACTTTTCTCCTTTCTCCAAGCGGCGGGCGGACTGTTCGCTGTCCCGCAGGCTGGAGGCTAGCGTCGGTTACTGCGGCTAAACATGGTGGCCTGTCGGCACGGAGAGGAGCCGAGCCCCAGCTCTGCGGGTTTGGGGGTGTTATAAGGGAACGCGAGGACGTTTTTGGCTGCTGCTCCACCCTTTTCTAAGTCTGCGCTTTGTTAATCTGGAGGTTTCTACGGGGCTCCCCGTGTGTTTCCGTTCAACCCGAGCAGCAGTACCACCGGCGTCAGCAGGACCCCGTCCGTGTTCGGCGGAGCGTGGATAATCATCCCGAAAAAGTTCTTCCAGGCCGCCTCAAAGTTTGCCCGCGGACCTGGGAAACTCCAAACCGTCCTGGACACTCCTCCAGCTGCTGTGTTTACGTTACGGATACTTTGAGGCTCTCAAACCGGGATGAATTGTTGCACAAGTGCAGCCTGATGAAACAGTTTGTTTTACCCCCTTCCTCCTCCTCCTCCTCCTGTTCAGGGTCTGATTGTTAATCTGAGGATTATTATGGATTTTTACCATGGCCTAATCCAGCCAGACTCTGAATTTGGGGACTAACTGCAGATGTAGAGTCTGACTGTGATGGTGATGATGATGATGGTATCTCTTCGCGATGATTCTGAGTAGAGAGGAATTCATTACATGGAGACTCGCCTGACATGCCGAGGAAGGAGTTGCCACTACCTGACGGTTGGGAGGAAGCCAGAGACTTTGATGGCAAAGTTTACTACATTGACCACATTAACCA